ATAGTGAGATTGTATGAAGCTTTAATGTTGTTAGAGAAGGTATAATTAGCTACATTCAAACGAAATTTACCGTTTCTAATTTCCGGTTACTACAACGCGTTATCGTCCTTTATAAAGGACAATGCTCGGCGAAATTAGAAACAATCAAGAAGCGCTTAGTCGTTTCGCTTCCGGTTCTATAATTGACTGGTAACTTGAATAGAAAATTTAAGAAAAAGTTTTGATTATGAATAATAAAATCGAATTTACAGGTAATAAACCGAAATCAATCTTAATTAAGTAATTAATTTCATCGCCCCATCAATATCAATTTTTGAACCTTAGAAAAGGGTGCGGAGAGAGAAAGAGTTGTATTGTTTTTGGTTTTATTGAAAATCAACGTAAAGTGAAGCTTTTAAAATCATCGAAATTACTTTAATTGATTTGGGTCAAAACCGACAACAAAGGCTGCATTTGAAACAAATTCTTTGTTGTAGCTCGAAACGCTGTAAAAATATTTTCAATGTGTTTTTGCTTGTCTTCAGACGCACGCCTTATGAAATATTACAATAATATTCCAAGAAATTGATTATTCATGAATTTTTATATGTAATGACGAAAAATTGTTGAATGCACAAAGGACAAAATTTCGCTCATTTTAAAAAATTTATAAATCAAAAACTAAAAGTGATTTTCAAAAACGAGTTTCACCATTAAACAAGTTGTTTTGTTCTTCATAAATCGTCCTACACTCAAATCGTTTCCTTTCGAAGTAGATTTTTAACGATTTTTTTCAAAAATATCCGATAATTCTTAACCACTAAGTGCATGATTGTGATTAAACATTTTTATTTCCGAAACTAAATGAGATATTCAAAAACGGATTTCACCATGATAAAACTCATAATTTCTTTTATATGCTCATGAAATATAATAATATTCCAACAAATGGATTATTCGTGAATTTTTATACGTAATGACGAAAAATTGTTGATTATGACAAACGACAAAATTTCGGTCATTTTATAAAATTTATAACTCAAAAACTAAAAATGATTTTCAAAAAGGAGTTTCACCATTAAAAAGGTTATTCTGTTCCTTATAAATCGTCCTACACTCAAATCATTTCTTTTCGAAATAGATTTTTAGCGATTTTTTTCAAAGATATCCGATAATTTTTAACCACTAAGTGCATGATTGTGATTAAACATTTCTATTTCCGAAACTAACTGAGATATTCAAAAGCGGATTTCACTATGTTAAAGTTAATAATTTTCTTCATATGCTCATGAAATATTATAGTAATATTCCAAGAACTCGATTATTCATGAATTTTTATATGTAATGACAAAAAATTGTTGATTGCAACAAACGACAAAATTTCGTTCATTTTAAAAAATTTATAACTCAAAAACTAAAAGTGATTTTCAAAAACGTGTTGCACCATTAAGAAGGTTATTCTGTTTTTTATAAATCGTTCTACACTCAAATCGTCTCCTTTCGAAATAGATTTTTAACGATTTTTTTCAAAAATATCTGATAATTTTTAACCACTAAGTGCATGATTGTGATTAAACATTTCTATTTCCGAAACTACCTGAGATATTCAAAAGCGGATTTCACCATGTTAAAGCTAATAATTTTCTTTATATGTTCATGAAATATTATAATAGTATTCCAAGAACTCGATTATTCATGAATTTTTATATGTAATGACAAAAAATTGTTGATTGCAACAAACGACAAAATTTTGCTCATTTCATAAAATTTATAACTCAAAAACTAGAAGTGATTTTCAAGAACGTGTTTCACTATTAAAAAGGTTATTCTGTTCCTTATAAAATCGTCCTACACTCAAATCGTTTCTTTTCGAAATAGATTTTTAACGATTTTTTTCAAAGATATCCGATAATTCTTAACCACTAAGTGCGTGATTGTGGTTAAACATTTTTATTTCCGAAACTAAGTGTGATATTCAAAAACGGATTTCACCATGATAAAACTCATAATTTTCTTTATATGCTCATGAAATATTATAATAATATTCCAACAAATGAATTATTCATGAATTTTTATATGTAATGACGAAAAATGGTTGATTGCGACAAACGACAAAATTTCGTTCATTTTAAAAAATTTATAACTCAAAAACTAAAAGTGATTTTCAAAAACGTGTTTCACCATTATGAAGGTTATTCTGTTTTTTATAAATCGTTCTACACTCAAATCGTCTCCTTTCGAAATAGATTTTTAACGATTTTTTTTTAAATATCCGATAATTTTAACCACTAAGTGCATGATTGTGATTAAACATTTCTATTTCCGAAACTAACTGAGATATTCAAAAGCGGATTTCACCATGTTAAAGCTAATAATTTTCTTTATATGCTCATGAAATATTATAATAATATTCCCAGAACTCGATTATTCATGAATTTTTATATTTAATGACGAAAGATTGTTGATTGCAACAAACGACAAAATTTCGCTCATTTAAAAAAATTTATAACTCAAAAACTAAAAGTGATTTTCAAAAACGTGTTTCACCATTAAAAAGGTTATTTTGTTTTTTATAAATCGTCCTACACTCAAATCGTTTCTTTTCGAAATAGATTTTTTGCGATTTTTTTCAAAGATATCCGATAATTCTTAACCACTAAGTGCATGATTGTGATTAAACACTTTTATTTCCGAAACTAAATGTGATATTCAAAAACGGATTTCACCATGATAAAACACATAATTTCTTTTATATGCTCATGAAATGTTATAATAATATTCCACCAAATGAAAAAATTCATGAATTTTTATATGTAATGACGAAAAATGGTGATTGCGACAAACGACAAAATTTCGCTCATTTCATAAAATTTATAACTCAAAAACTAGAAGTGATTTTCAAGAACGTGTTTCACCAATAACAAGGTTATTCTGTTCCTTATAAATCGTCCTACACTCAAATTGTTTCTTTTCGAAATAGATTTTTAGCGATTTTTTTCATAGATATCCGATAATTCTTAACCACTAAGTGCATGATTGTGATTAAACATTTTTATTTCCGAAACTAAATGTGATATTCAAAAACGGATTTCACCATGATAAAACTCATAATTTCCTTTATATTCTCATGGAAAATTATTATAATATTTCAAGAAATGGATTATTTATGAATTTTTATATGTAATGACGAAAAATTGTTTATTGCGACAAACGACAAAATTTCGCTCAATTTAAAAAATTTATAACTCAAAAACTAAAAGTGATTTTCAAAAACGTGCTTCACCATTAAAAAGGTTATTCTGTTCTTTATAAATCGTCCTACATTCAAATCGTTTCCTTTCGAAATAGATTTTTTTCAAAAATATTCGATAATTTTTAACCAGTAAGTGCATGCTTGTGATTAAAAGGTTTTATTTCCGAAACTAAATTAGATATTCAAAAATGGATTTCACCATGATAAAATTCATAATTTCCTTTATTTGCTCAAAAAATATTATAATAATATTCCAAGACATGGATTCTTGGAATTATTGTTGATTGCGACTATTTGTGTTTAGCCGCATGTTTCTCAAGAATGTTTTTAGTTCTAGGTTTAGTGTTAGTTCTACTTTTATTACAGTAAAAATAGACAACAATTTAGCGCTTAATAACAAATAAAACTAGAAACTAGAAACATTCAGGTTTAGCTGTGCGTCTTCTTTCTAGTTGTAAATTTAGTGTTAGTTTCAGTTTTAATTTGATTCTGAATAATGAAATCGAATTTACAGGTAAAATCTTTTTAATAAACCGCAATCAATCTTATTTAAGTAATTAATTTCGTCACCCCATCAATATCAATTTTTGAATTTAGAAAAGGGTGCGGAGAGAGAAAGAGTTGTATTGTTTTTGGTTTTGTTGAAAATCTACGTAAAGTGAAGCTTTTAAAATCATCGAAATTACTTTAATTGATTCGGGGTAAAACCGACAACAAAGGCTGCATTTGAAACAAATTCTTCGTTGTAGCTCGAAGCGCTGTAAAAATATTTTCAATTTTATCTCCATCAAAGCAATCAACATTTTTGCTTTATACCAAAATTAACTGAATTCACTAATAAATTACTCATTTATGTGCATTTTTTGACAAATAAATTATCCATTACGTAACTAGATTTTTTTTTTATTTTTTAATCTCAAATTTATATTATGGTGATAATTTTAATAGGTTTATCTGAAGGTGGGTTTTTGGCTACGTGTCCCGGTTGAAAAGCCAGAACTTATCGAACAGAGACGTATTAGGTCGGAGGGTAGGTCGAGTGCAAAGCTTGAGCTCTAATAAAATTCGTAGCACGATCATCCCAATCTAGGAAGAACGCGGCAACCAGGATCATCCCCTTTTCCGTGAGAAAATTTATTCTGTACCGTTCCAGACCGGCGCCGGATGATTAAAAATAATAGAGACAGAAATTGTAGAGCTAACTAGAAATTATGGTCTACGCGCCGGTCGTACATCCTGTATATCCGCAGTGGGGAGTGTTCCGGATGAATATTTAAACTTCCGTAATTCGTACACCTACCTATCTGGTCCAAGTAGCTGGTTAATATATGAAATTTTTTACCTTTGGTATAAGATATCATTGATTCTATATTTGAACAAGAAAATGCTGAAAAAGATAAATTTACCATTTGATTTAAAAAGTTATGAGTTATTATTTAAATTAATTTAATTTCCAACTGATTTTAATATTTTTGTTGCACTAAATTTTATATATTTATAAATATTTCAATAAAATTTAAATCCTTTATGTTTAAACTAATTCGCTCGTTTGATTGACTTTCGATATATTCATTTAAATATTATCAATACATCAACAACAAACCGTATCAAAGCAAAAACAAATTCCCCGTTTATATTTATATATACCAATATTATTGGATAAATACGAACGTAAAATACAAAAAAAAAGTTATCCGGCTATTTAATTTACATCCAATTTTCGCAACGTTATCGTCAAATCCGTTTAACATCGACAAAATAGGATTACCTTGCAGCTTCTCTTGATGGTTCTGTTGCTGCTGTTGGTTGTGCTGCGATGGCGCTGCCCTAATTTGCGCAGTTACGGTCACCACCATGAGCATCAGCAACGCAGAAGGACAATGGCTATGGCAATCAAGCCTCATTGTTCCACCGGTGGCTGTCACAACGGCTCTAGTATTGAGGGAAAACCACCTTTCGATAATTACATGCCGAACCCGTTAACGGGACATCTCAGTTTATTCACTTGGACTCGCTCATGAAATCCAAATACCTTCATAATTCCTAAAACAAAAGGAATTTTTAATACAAAAATCAATTAAAAATGTTTAAAAAGCGTTGCGCTTTTGAAGTGATTATGATGGTCAGTCGTCAAATCAAATGGGATGACGATTCTTTTTATAGCTAGTATGAATGATAGAGCTTTTTTTTGACGAGCGCTTAAACGCGTGCAGTAAAATTCCGTTAAAATCAGTGAATCGTTTCACATTGTCAAAAAGGTTTCGATTTCATTTAATTCTAAGCACTTTTAAGAGTTTCAAGGGTTCTAAACGCAATTTTCGGATTATCTCCTAAAACAATACTCGGTTTATATGGTTTATATGATTTATATGGAGTTTACCCTGTGGTTTATCAACAGGTAATTGATTATAAATTTAGTATAACTCGAATCAGGCAATTATTCCTGGCCTGTACTTGTTTCATAAATGAATTAGGAAGTTCTTAATTAGATATTACACAGTGAAACTTGAATTTCTCGAAAACTACGTGCTTCGTGTTTGCATAGTTTAAATTAGGTTTGATCTTTTACTTTCGGTAATTTTGTTTAAATTTGATTACTCAAACGTTAGAAATTTTCTAAGGTAAGCAGTTAATTAATTTTACTTGGCAGATATTTTCCTCGATATATAGAAACCTAAAATAATGATAATATAGAATTATGCAGAGTGCAACAAATGTTTAGAATCTCCGTATCGCAATATAACAAATATCTTTACATCCAAGAGAGTAAAGTGGACTATTTATAATTTTAAGCCTCTAAAATCACGAATTTTGCCTATTTTTTTGCAAAAAGGCATAGAAGACTTACTCCCAGTAATAATATCTCTATATACAGGGTGATTTATTAACCCACCATCATACTTTGACATATGATAGCTATTCGTATAAAATTGATTCAATGATCATCGTGATATTAATTAAAATAGAAAGAATTAAATAAAATTCGTGTAACGATGATGGAATTATTTATTTATATTATTCAGTGCTTACTATAGTATTCGACCATATAGTGGTCTTCCTCAGGCACAACTACAATAACAAAAATGTATTAGAAGGAACATAGAACAATCCAGAAATTACTCTAAATACTATGATCTAAAAATATAAAAGCAAAAAAACATAAATTACTTAAACTAAAACGAGAACTAACACTAGCACTATCACTAGAACTAACACTAGACCTAGAACTAGAAACTTTCGGGTTAAACCGTGCGTTTTTTGAAAAAATGTTTGATGTTTCGGATGCCATGTTGCAACCTTCTTCAGACACAAGTTCGAAGTCAAAAAACGCATGGCTTAACCCGAAAGTTTCGAGTTCTAGGTCTAGTGTTAGTTCTAGTGATAGTGCTAGTGTTAGTTCTAGTTTTAGTTTAATTAACACCGGCCGTGAAAGCCTTCGTACTTATATTATCAACCTTTATGGGGAGGATATTAACAAACAAATCAAGGATCTTGCCAACTTACGGATTAGACAACGCAAGCTATTAAGTGGCTTGGCTTTCCTACGTAGATGCAGAGAAAGCAGGGTAACCCCAACTTTCCTCAGAGTGAAGCACCATATCGACACCGCAGCAGCACGTAGGATCTTGATCAACACAGAACAGGCGCTGATACGAGAAAGAATAAACAAAACTTTTAAAGATCTGCAGAGAATAAGTGAGGGGTTACTACGACTCCACTTCTCACTTTCCAATTCCATGGCAAGAGAAGACTGGGACAAAGTACACAGGATAACCATGGAGAAGGCTGAACGTGAATTCCAAAGATGTCGGCATAAGCAGATTAAGAAATTCGAATCGCCAGACCGTCGCACCCACAAGAGGAAAAACAACGATTTGCCGATTGAAACAGTTGTTATCAACCGATCAAGCGTCCCATTAACAGAGAAGGAAACTAAAGTACTCGCCAAAGGCTTAAATTACGCAGTCGCTACAAAGAGGGTTCCCAAAGAAGACATTATATGTGGAATATTATATTATATTATACGCAGAATACCTGCAGTGAAAGCAGAAGAAATTCGTCAAGACATAGCGAGAGTACTTAAAACAGCAAGGCCACCAAAATCAAACTTAACAATGAACGAAAGAAGAGCACTACGAACGATAAGGGAAAAACCAGACATTATCATCCAACCAGCGGACAAGGGGAATGCGACCGTGGTTATGGACAGAAAGGAATACGACGACAAGATGAAGAGCCTTTTGGACCCAGCCACCTATAAGAAAATAAAAAAGGACCCAACCGAGAAGGTAGTAAGGAAAATGAACGAACTGGTAAAATCCACAAAAATCCCAGCAGATCAACAGAAAAGGTTATTCGTACAGGCTCCAGTACCACCAAGGATATATGGATTACCCAAAGTCCATAAACCAGACGTCCCACTACGCCCTATCAGCTAGCAAAACTCCTTTCCAAGATTCTGTCTCCTTTTACAGGTAGAGCAGAGTCATATGTCAGAGACTTCACACATTTTGTGGAATCAATTAGGAGTATAAAGCTAGACCCTCATGATATGCTGGTAAGTTTCGACGTGAAATCTCTATTCACCAGAGTACCAGTCAAAGATGCCGTGGATGGTCTTCGCCAGAAACTCATCCCGGAGGGTTTGCCCAAATATGTCCCAACACTAGTGGACTACTGCCTATCGTCGACATACTTCAGCTGGTAGGGGGAATTCTACGAGCAATGCGAAGGGGCAGCCATGGGGTCACCTCTATCTCCTGTGATAGCCAATTTTTACATGGAGATGTTTGAAGAGGAAGCGTTAAAGAAGAGTCATTGGAAACCAAAGCTATGGCTCCGTTACGTCAATAACACTTTCGTGATCTGGCAACATGGGAAAGAGCAACTCCAAGAATTTCTAGATCACCTCAATTCACAGCAAAAACTTCGAACTTGTTTCTGAAGAAGGTTGCAACAAGGCATCCGAAACTTCAAACATTTTTTCAAAAAACGCACGGCTTAACTCGAAAGTTTCTAGTTCTAGGTCTAGTGTCAGTTCTAGTGATAGTGTTAGTTTTAGTTTATTTAACACCGGCCGTGAAAGCCTTCTTACTTATAACTTAAATTACCGTCGGAGCGTAATTTAGATATTAAATGACATCAATTTCTTTAGGATCAATGATCTTGACTCAAAGTTGTTCTAAAAATTAATAAAAAAAGAATACAAAATGATTAATTGTACAAATAGCGTATTTATAATAATTATCTGTTGAAGAATATTTAAAAAATCAATCAGGTGTATGTCGAAAAGTAAAATAAACGGCGATGTTAACATATCAAAAACATGCAAAAATCACGAAATTAACAACAAAATACTACACATCGAAAATGAGTACTCTTCACACAAAAGGACGAGATAGATTGGTTTCGATAAAGATTTTATCTCATTCTAGAAAGCGGAAACATGTTGTATCTATTCTATAACTTAAATTCTATTTCTCATCTATATCTATAAATATGAAACATGTATCAATAGATTATATGGAAAATCACTTATTGCATGTATTTGATGAAAAATTTATAATTATTAACATCCGCTAGGTCGTTCATAAGACAATTATTGTTGTTATTCTTATATATAAAATATTCCTCAAATAGATCAAGGTTTTTCGATATCTTTATATTTTTCAACATTTATTATTAAGTTTTAAATGCTTAAAAACAGCTGAAGTATCTCTATTTAGGTGTTCTTTAAATCTAGTGAGGATGTTTTTCACACAACATGTGATCTTATATATACCGTTCAATGACGTATTATCAAATTTGTGTTTATTATTTAACAAATGTTTAGATATTTTTGAATTCGATGAGAAAACTGGAACAATGTCAACTTTACCAAAATTTTTCCTGATTTTTGACTGAATGAAAGGGACAATGGCGGATATATTAGTTTAATGATGTTACATTTATATGCCATGTTATGAATGTCCTTTAAGTCTTTGATGTTGTATCCATTATTCAAACCGATTTTTACAATTTTATGAAGTTCTGTGACATAATTGGAATCATTTAACGGTACTTTTTGTAATCTATTGAAAAGAAAACGAAATGATGCCTGTTTATGTTCAGTAGAGTTGAATGAATGTTTGGGAATTATTACGTCTGTGGCTGTGTGTTTGCGAAATATATCAAAGCTCAAGATACTATCAGGTTCTCTTGAAATCACTGAGTCTAAAAAGTTCAGTCTACAGTGTGTTTCAATTTCAGAAGTGAACTGCAGGTTATTAATATTATTAAAAATATTGTTTAATGCTGAAAGTTTTGCTGCATTACCTTCAAAAATAATAAAGATATCATCTACATATCTCCCGTAAAATGAGATATCTTTGATTATAAACTTATATTTATCTGAGAAAAGCTTGTTTTCGAAATTATTGACAGTCAATCATTTCGAATAGCTAATATAATATGTCCGATTGCTGTAAGAAGAAACTCAAAATGTACGCTTATAGCACTGAAGAGTATGCTGATATAATTTTCGTGTATAGTTTTTGCAATGGAAATGCTCGACAATCAGTACAAGAATATCAAGAAAGATTTCCACAGTTTTATTTGCCATACTATTCAGTTTTTAGTGATTCTTTCAGAAGACTTCGAGAGACAGGTAATCCTGCTCCAGCAAAAGCTATTTGATCGCATGTAGTTAATGTAGAGAACCAAGAAGCTGTAATTAATGCTATCATTGATAATCCTTCCATCATAATTCGAAGAATAACACACAACATACATGTAAGTCAAAATTTTGCATGGAGCGTATTGAACCGCGAAGTTCTTCATCCGTATCGTAAACAAAATGTTCAAGCTCTACAGCCAGGAGATAATCAGCAACGATTAGCATTTTGTGAATGGTTATTGCAGCAACATGCCCAAAATAATGACTTCATTTCAAATGTTCTCTTGATAGATAAATCATGTTTTACACGAGATGGTATAAATAATTACCATAATGAACATATCTGGGCATTACAAAATCCGCATGCGATTAGACCAAGGAAATTTCA